TACAAATTTCTTTAAAAGGAAACACAGATTTTTATTTGACAACTAGAAATAAGAGTTTTAAAATGCTCAAGCCTCTTTCTGGTCTATTGTCAACAAAAAAGCCAGGGAGATGACATTTTTATGATGTAAATAAGATTATGTTACTCCTATGCTCAAAATCCTCCAAAGACTTCCCATTTCACAAAGAATTAACTATAAAACATTAATGAAAGAAATTGAAGAAGGCACAAATAAATGTAAAGATATCCCATGCTCATGAGTTGGAAGAATTAATATTGTTAAAATGTCCATACTACCCAATGCAATCTACAGATACAATGCAATCACTATCAAAATTCCAATGTCATTTTTCATAGAAATAGAAAAAAAATCCAAAATTCATATGAAAGCACACACACACACATGATTGCTGAGACAATCATGAGCAAAAAGAATAAAGTTGGGGCATCATTCTACCTGATTTCAAACTATACTACAAAGTGGTAGTAATTAAAACAGCATGGTACTAGCATAAAGATGGACTCATCAACCATTGGAATGATAGAGAGCCCAAAATGATTCCATGCAGGTACAGTCAATTGATTTTTGACAAAGGTGTCAAGAATACACATTGAGAAAAGGGCAGTTTCTTTAATAAGTGGTATTGGAAAAACTGAATATCTACATGCAGAAGAATGAAAATGAACCCTTAGCTCACTCCGTATACAAAAATCAACTCAAAGTGAATAAAGACTTAAACATAAGACCTGAAACTGTAAAACTGCTAGAAGAAAACATAGGGAAAAAACTACACATTGGTCTGGACAATAACTTTTTTAGATTTGACATCAAAAGTGCAGCAACAAACGCAAAAATAGACAAGCGGAATTACATTCAAAATAAAAAGGTTCTGCAGAACAAAGGGGACAATTAAAGAGTGAAGAGACAACCTACTCAGTGGGAGAAAATATTTGCAAATAAATCTGGTAAGGGGTCAATATCTAAAATATATAAGGAATTCAAGCAACTCTATGGACAGAAAACAAATCAATTAAAAACTGGGAAAGGACCCGAATAGACATTTCTCAAAAGGAGACATACAAATGGCCAACAGATATACAGAAAAAAATGTTCAACATCACTAGTCATTAGGGAAATGCAAATTAAAACCACAGTGAGATTTTACCTCATGCCTGTTAGAATGGCTATTATCAAGTATTGGTGAGGATGTGGAGAAAAGGCAACCCTTGCACACAGTTGGTGGGAATGTAAATTGGTACAGCCATTATGGGAAACTTTATAAAGTTTCCTCAAAAAACTAAGAATAGAATGCCACTTCTGAGTATTTACTAAAAAGATTTGAAATCAGCATGTCAAATAGATGTCTGCACTCCTATGTTCAGTGCAGTACTTTTCATAATAGCCAAGTTATGGAATCAACACAAGTGTCCATCAACAGATGAGTGGATAAATAAAATATGGTATATAAACACAATGGAATACTATTAAGTCTTTAAAAAGAGGGAAATTCTGTCATTTGTGACAACATGGATGAATCTGGAGGATATTATGCTAAGTGTAGTAAGCCAGGCATAGAATGACAAATACTGCATGTTCTCACTTATCTGTGGAATCTAAAAAAGTCGAACTGAAAGCGGAGAGTAGGATGATGATTATGAGAGACCGGCAGGGAGATGACGGTCAAAAGGTGCAAAGCTTCAATTATACAGGAGGAATACTTTTTTTTTCCTTTGAGATACATTGCACAGCATGGTGAATACAGTAAATAATAACATATTGTTCATTTCAAAATTGTTAGGAGAATAAATTTTAATTGTTCTCACCACAAAAAATAAGTATTGGTGGTGATGAATGCTAATTAGCTTTAATTATTCCACATTGTATCCATATATCATAACATCACTTTGTACCTCATAAATATATACAATTATAATTTGTCAATTTATTATTTTTAAAAAGTTCATACTATGGTTTACAAGGTCCTACACAATTTGGCCCTCTGTTCATTCTCTGACTTCATCTCCAATCCTCTTCCTTTTAATCTCTCTACTCCAGCCAAACCAACCTCCTCGCTGTTACTTGGACAATCCTGCCTCAGGATCTTTTAGCGATCTTAATTCCCTCTGCTTGGAATGTTCTCCCTTCAGCTATACGGCTCATTCCCTCATCTTCTTCAAGCTTTTGCTTCAATGTTACCTTCTCAGTATAGCATTCCCTGATCATCATGCATAATATATCAGCCTTTTCTCCTACATTTCCTGTCCTCTTTCCTCTTTCTGCATAGCACTCTCTGACATGCTATATATTTTACTTATTTTTCTATTTTCTGTCTCTATGCTACTAGAATGTAGGCTCCAAGTGGATAGTGGTTTTTGACCATTTTGGTCATAGCATATTTTTAGTGCCTGGAAGAGGACCTAAAACACAGTAGGTGCTCAATTAATATTTATTGAATAAAGTAATTACTACTATTTTATGTAATTTTAAAACATATGCCATTCACATGAGCATGAAACTTCGCCTGTCCCTAGTATGGAAGACTTTCAACCATCAAGAGCCAAGGGAACAAGACAATTGTACTGTTACTAAATCCTTTGTTTCTGTATCTGTTAGGCATTTAAATTTGATTCTTTATTCACTTTTTAAAATATCGACCTGTCTTAAGAAATGCCTTGAGTATGCCAATGATAATTCACCGAGAATAACTGCTCTTTTTCTACCTTCCTGCCCAGTCTCTCAATAATCAAAACTAAAAGAGTATGAAATAGCACAGATAAAATGTGCTCACATATCATCTACTGGACTCAGGCATATTGAAAGTATGGTTGTTAAATTTGGAATGCACTGCCAGATTTCCTGAGGAAAAAAAAACGAGGGACCCCAATGAGAATGCATCATCTTTAAATTGTGTATTGGAAAAGTAGCAGCAGAAAATCAAGTCTTCCTTAATCTCTTACGTCTGGACAATGGTTTGCTTGGTCTCACATAGATTACTTTAAGCTCATTCTATCCTCAGAACTTTCTTCAATGCAGTCTTCATCTCCTTGTTTCGTAAGCTGTAAATCAAGGGGTTTAAGAAGGGAGTGACCACAGTATAGAACAAAGTAATAATCTTCTGAATTATAGCTGTATTATCAGCTGTGGGACTCACATACATTGCCAAGAGGGCCCCAAAGAATAAGCACACCACTGTCAGGTGTGATCCGCAGGTGGAAAAGGCCTTCCGCCGGCCTGCTGCTGAAGGGACTTTTAACACAGCTATCAGCAAAAGGGTGTAGGAGCCCAGGATGTACAGAAGAGTGAATATGAGAATCAGGGAGCTCAGGATGTAGAAGACGTTCTCAATGACAGGAGCTGGGGCACAGGACAGAGCTATCAGTGGGTCTATGTCACACACAAAGTGATTGATGATGTTGGGCCCACAGAAAGGCAATTGAGAGAGCTGCACAGTGGAGACAGGGTAAGTAAGGAACCCAAACACCCAGCAAAGAGATATCAAGATAAAGCAGAGTTGTGGTGTCATGATGGTTGGGTAGTGCAGTGGACGGCAGATAGCCAGGTACCGATCATATGCCATGATACAGAGGAAAAATGTTTCAATTGTACCAAGAGAAGTAAAAAAATAGAACTGGAGGAAACATCCAACAAACGAGATGGTTTTTGTTTCTGAGAGGAAATTGACTAGCATAGTGGGCACAGTGGAGGTAATATAGCAGATTTCAAGGAAAGCAAAATTCCCAAGGAGAATATACATTGGGGTATGCAGTCGTCTGTCCAACTTCACAGCACAGATAATGGCCCCATTTCCCATTATGGTAAATATGTACATTCCAAAGAACAACAAGAAGAGGAAACTTTGCATCTCCTGACCACCAGGAAAGCTGAGGAGGATAAACGCAGTCACAGTGCTTGTCTCCGAATTGTTCATCAATCTGGCTACAGAGAAGACAGAAAACACAATTATACAAGTAGGTTTTTTTCCCTGAAGAACTTGGAGGAAAACTATGCAAGGTACGTATGTTAGTTATTTGGCAATTAGTTTGGAAGAACCCATCCATTGAGTCCTAGCTCTTATTTAAAAACCACTAATCAACACTCTGAATGATCGAAAATGTCAATAAAATTAGATTCATAGCAATAGTATCTTTACATTACTTGGATTTTCTTTGTCATTGAGTTAGATTTTTTAACATCCTCTTTTTCCATTGAGATTTTGAAAGCTCAGAAGCATTATCCTCTAGGAAAAGCAGCAAAGTGGTTATCAGTTTGTATATTTTTCCCCACCCACAGTTAATTATTTCTAATAGATCAGCTTTCAGTCTGAGTTAATTTTTTAAGGAAGAATTAGGACTGGAATAACTACTTTGTTTTTTTTTGACATCTCTCCCCAACTGGAAAGTCCTTGACATATTTCTCAGACACTCTAGAGCTGTGAATGTTGATTATCCACTTTGAGTTGTTCGCATCAGAATCATTTTCTTTCATAACAGGTCATGATTTATATCTCAAAATAAAAACAATGAGAAAAGGTCATAGCAATAATTTTCTGGAGAGTAGAGAGTTAATAGTCACCTCACAGTATTCCTTGAATTGACTTTAGTTCAACTTTTATTTTAATCTCTTCTAATTTGTGCATTGGTTCTATACTACCTTAAACAAATGCTGTGTCTTAAATTATTTTACTATAAATTTCTCATTGAGATAAACAATTTGTTTCAAGATACATTGTTCTGCCACAAGGATTCATTTTTCTGCCACCTACATATTGCCGATGATAGATTTTTACATTTGCAACTGAAATCTCAACTGCCCACCTGCAAAGAAATTCAGATTGGAAAGGTCATTTATCAAAAGTCAATGAGACAAACAGACACAAAGACATAATATAGCTCTACATATTGCTGAAGGTCAATTCTTTTGCTGAAAAGAAAGGATTTTTTTTCATCTTAATGACACACAAAACATATATGTACAAAATATTCAATAAGCCTTTTCCAAATTCAAGGATATGCTTGAATTTGGAGGGATCCTTGTCATGTTTGAGCTTTCACTTTAAATATAAACCTCTCTAGTCATTTACTTCCTTCATATTTTCCAACACATAATCACCATTTTGCTCAGGATTTCTCCTCATTCCGTCTTTTCCTTTGTACTCATTTATTGGTGAATGGCTCCACTCTCCACACACCAATTCATTTAGCATTTGCTAAAGCCAGAAGCGTGAGAGTCATTCAAGCCACCTGATAATCCTGTCACCTCCCAAATTCACTCACTCATCAAATTCTGTTGATTTTCCCTCTCCAAACTTTTTCAAATCTTTCCTGAGCACATAGAAGATTATAGTAAATGCTGAATGTTTTAAGGTTGGATAGTCCAGTAGTGGAGTGGATCAGCTACACACGTGAGAATAATGTAGAAAGAAAAATGGGCCTCCTCTAAGGAAGGACTGAGATAATAATTTTGGGAAAAATGTACATAGTTTGGTGAGGAAGAAAGAGAACACTCACTCTAGCTATCTATGGGATGACATACCACAGCTGGATTAGGTTCACAACTGATTGATTCAGTGCAGTAATGCTGAACTCAGTAGTCCTCTGTATCACATACTTAAAAGAAAATAAACAATAAAGTCATATTGCTTTGGGCTCAAATACTGTATCAGATACTTGTGCCCTTTAGCATGTTAACACCTATTTTGCAGAGCTCTTGTAAAAACAGGTTCAAAGTACAGTTGCCTAGTACATATTCTAGTGCCTAGTACAGTTCCTGGGAAATATTAGGGCCTGAAAAATATTTTAGATGCTATTGTTCATAATAATACTACCAAAAAATATAACTACAAAGTAACTAAGGATAAAATTTTTAGCATAATCATTAAAAAGCCTAAATGAAAAACAATTAAGTATCTAGAAGACTAGATTAAAAGTCACTCAGTTCCAATGTATTACACACCAAAGCTATGGCCAGCATTCTTAGGTTGTTCAGATTCAATTTACTGACCTTCCATATTCTGGCAGTTGTCTGATATAAAGGAAGAAAATGGAAAATCACAGTATTGTTAATAACGCAAGATGCAGAACATAAATTATTAAAGGCAGGACATTATATTACTTGGGATGTGCAGAAGAGTAATGGGAATAAGCTATATTCAATTGGGGGCATTGTAAACTGTGAGTTATTAGGCACAATATCGAGCAATCTTCTAATACCAAATTATGTAATTCATCAAATTTCTGAATAATGAGGCATTTCTTTGTGAGTTATCAGGCAAGAAAATTTAAGGAAATTTTAAGCCAAGGGAGATCTGGGTAGCTGGGCCCTAGAGTCAATAGTTCATTACAACATAATCTATTATTATGATACTGGAGATACTGGGGATGAAATCACATATCCAGAAACCCACACAAGTTTGCAAAATATGTTAATATAAAGGGATTACACTGGAGCTCATATCCATGTATAGATATCTTCCAGGAAATCCAGTGAAGCCTAGTCAGGGAGAAAACTTACCCTAAGTGCAGACAGACCTAAGGATAAACACCAAGTCTGTATTTTCTTGTTGATGCCTCTCTTTCCCTTACATGAAATCAAAACCCAGGTTCTGACCCTGAGAATCTTAGGAGATACCTGTACAAAGATAACTGTTGAAACTATTTTCCACCCTTTCTGAAGTGTTCAAAAGAAACAGTTATAGCAACAGGGTACTTCTGGTAGGCAATGGTGATAGCCAGTGGAAAGGAACACAGTCCTATACTCAGCCCTTGAGGTGTGGCCTTGACTGACAAATTGACATTTTCATCAAGGGCTGCATAAGAGACCCCAGTCATCCCCAGGCACCCAGACCTTTCACTTGTCTTGTCCTGCCGGGAAAGTTCAGTAGGTGAGGTTTTTGTATTACTTTTGTTGCAGAGTAGCTGAAAGCAGTGGGATATGAACCTCATGAGAGATTTCAGAAAGGGGGTGCAGGTGAATGAAGGAGAAGGGAGTGTCATCGTGGTTCTCAAGGGGTGCAATTAAAATATTACCTTAGAGATTGTGATGTTTTCTATCTCCCTTTGGGCTGATTTATGACTCCCTCAAGAGTCCTTGACATAGCATTCTTTCTTTCATCCAAGTTTTTATATAGTTTAAAAACTATATAAAGTATATAAAAAATGGGTAAATTGGACCCCAGAACAAAGGAAGAATGTCTTAAAGTGCAATGGTGAAATGTCTGTGTGGATTTCCAGGGAACTTTTTGTTTTTAGGAAAAGTCTTTTCATTGTGAAATGTAGAGAATGTTCACAATGTGTGTCGTTTATAGTCTCTTCACACACTTGACATCTGTCAATTTTTGCTTCCAATTTTTAATTACTGTTAGACTACTTATTTTCTATTTGTCCTCTGATCTTTTTTCCCTTAATACTTCTTTCTTGTTTTCTTTTGGATTACTCAAATATTTTTATTATTTCAATTTCCTCTATTAGCATTTTTTGTTGGTTTAATAAAATTTTATTATGATAAAATATAACCATGCATAAATATAACATATGTAATATAAAAATTACCATTTAAAACATTTATAAGGGCACAGTTATGTGGCATTAAGTATATTTACATTCTTGTGCACCACTATCCATCTCTAGAATATTTTCATCATCCCAAACTGAAACTCAATACCCATTAAACAATAACTTCCTGTTTCATTCTCTCCCATACCTTGGCAATCACCATTCTACTTTCTGTCTATGAATTTGGCTACTCTATGTACCTCATATAAGTGGAATCACACAATAATTGTCCTTTTGTGACTGGCTTATTTCACATAGCATGATGTCTTTAAGGTTCATCCATGTGGTAACACATGTAGCTTTTTTTTCTTTTTTCTTTTTTTTAGTAGTAGAAGTCATCCTAATGGGTATGAAGTGGTATCATTGTGACTTTGATTTGAATTTCCCTAATGATTAGTAATACTGAGCATCTTTTGATGTGCCTATTGGCCATTTGTACATATCTTTTGGGGAAATGTCTATTCAAGTCCTTTGCTCATTTTAAAACTGGGGTTTTTTTTTGTTGTTGTTGTATTGTAGGAGTTCTTTATATATTTGGGACACTAATCCCTTTCAGATCTATGATTTACAAATATTTTCTCCCATTCTGTGGGTTGCTTTTTCGTTCTGCTGATGGCATCTTTTGGTACACAAAAGTTTTTAAAATTGTGATGTAGTGAAATTTATCTATTCTTTCTCTGGTTTCCAAGCTTTTGGTGTCACATTCAAGAAGTCATTGGTAAATTCAATGACTTTTCTGTTATATTTTCTTCTAAGAGTTTTATAGTTTTAGGTCATATGTGTAGGCCTTTGATTCATTCTTAGTTAATTTTTATATATGGTATAAGGTAAGAGTCCAATTTCATTATTTTGCATGTGGATGTTTAGTTTTCCCAGCACCATTAGCTGAAATGACTGTCCTTTCCCCCATTGAATGGTCTTGGCACCCTTGCTAAAAATGATTTGACCAAATATGCAATGGTTTATTTTTGAGATCTTCATTATATTCCATTGATCTGTATGTCTGTCTGTATGCCAGTACCACACAGTTTGATTACTGTAGCTTCATAATATGTTTTGAAATTAGGAAATATGAGACTGCCAACTTTGTTCTTCTTTTCAAGATTTCTCTTGCTATTTGGGGTCCCTTGAGAATCCATGTGAATTTTCGGATGGATTTCTAAAAATTCTGTAAAATCATCATTGTGATTTTTGTAAGAGTTGCATTGAATCCATAGATCACTTTGGATAGTATTGTCATCTTACCAATATGAAGTATTGCAATCCATACACATGGAATGTCTTTCCAATGATTTGTGTTTTCTTTAATTTCTTTTATTTTTTTGAAATATAATTGATTATGCATATTTGTGGGGTACAGAGTTGAATATCAATACCT